TCTCTCTGTGATGGCACACTGCCACCTACAGGATAGTTTGTTATTACAAGACACAGAATCCAATAATTGTGATTATGGATTAAGGAGAGTGGTGCAGGTGGTAGAGCTGTTGCCTTGCAGCAAGAAAGTCCTGGGTTTGATTCCCAGGGTCTTTCTGCATGGAGTTTGCATGTTCTCCCTGTGCATGGTGGGTTCTGTCCAGCTTCCTCCAAAACATGACTGTCAGGTTAACTGGTTTCTCTAAATTCTCCCCAGGTGTGTGTACATGGTTGGTTGTCCTGTCTGTCTCTGTGTTGTCCTGCGACAGACTGGCAACCTGTCCAGGGTGAATTCCACCTTCACCTGGAACGTTAGCTGGAGATCAGCACCTCCTGACCTAAGGGACAAGGGTGTACAGAAAATGGATGGATTTATTAAAGAGAACTTCTGACACATTTCTGTTATACCTTCATCAATATTAGTTATGAATATCTTCTGGATCACCATAAATAAACTTCCTATTTGTCTAATTCATTGTGAGATTTTGTGTCTATTTATTCAACATTTTAGCTGCAAACAGAGTTTTTGAATTAAAAATGTTAATTTTGTCATCTTTCATTGTATAAATCAATACTATTCATACTTACACTAATTAAAACTTGTCTTATTTTGTAATATTATTTGTTATATATATTTAAGCAAACTTTTCACTAAATATGTTGATAAATACTAATCTGGGTGTGTTGCAGTTAAAGAACTCCAGACTTAATTATATAAAAAAAAATTCTTTATGAATCATCTCTTCCAAAATATTTTCAGTCTTAAGAAGCTGAAATGTTCTTTGTCTGTCTGATGATGGTTGAGGATCAATATGAATCATATAAAAGTCCTGAAGGGAAAGTTTGTTTCCAGAAGACTGAAATTCCCTCTCTGTAACTCACAGTGTTTGTTTCTCTGTATGGTGGAAAATAATACTTTAATTTGTATAAATGGAGGCAGTTCAGGCTGGAAGATGAGGAGTTGGAGCTGAAAAGATGGGAAGTGTGAGGAGATCCTGGAAATCTGATCCAGGTTTTTATATTTACAGTACAGAAAAAACACACAAATACAGAAAGAATCAAAAATGAATTTTATTTAGAGATTAAAAACACAGATTAATTATATGTAAGTAAAAATAGTAAAGCAATACTTAACAATTTCTCTACACCATGTACACAATTGTCCTGTAGAGGGCAGCATCCCGCCAAAACCACAGCTAAAATCTGCGTGACTACGGCAGCCCCCATGACTGTTTTATTCTGATTTGTCCAAAATCTTTTGTGCTAAAAGCAACAATCATAAACGTTCTTTTGCTGATCATCTTAAAGAAGAACGTCAAGAAATGAATAGATTCAACAAAACCAGAAAATCAGATTTTAAGAAAAACAATGGTCATCTATTCAGTCTATTGATTTCTCAGAACTTTAGACATAAACTCACAATGATCATAAAAAAGAAAAACAACAAAAATCAGAATCAAACTCAATGATCCTTTAGTATATCTTGACTACTTGGCTTTCCAAAACTTTGCAGAACCTCCAGGAAACACAGAAACCCCAGCATGTAGCGGCTCAGTGAATCTGGTCTGGACTCTGTGGATCAGAGTCATGGTTTTAGAGACTCTGTAGAAGGACAGAATACCTGCTCTGTGGTCCAGGTACACTCCGACTCTGGAGGAAACTGGACCTGAGATGGCGGTCCAGATGTTGTTGTGACCAAATTTAGACGTTTTTTTATAATAAGAAAATGCCCAGGATTTGTCATTATATCCAAATCTACATTCATTCCCATCTCCTGCTCTGCTGATGTTCTTGTATGCGACTGCTACAAAAACCCCTAAACCGCTCCACTCCACCTCCCAGTAACAACGTCCAGTCAGACTCTCTTTACTCAGAACCTCAATGAAGTGAGTGAATCTGTCTGGGTGACTGGGATAAGATTGACGTTGATTCATCCAGGTCACCTTCTTGTTCCCCTCTGATAGAACCATATTATTGTGTGCTGTGTTTGGATCTAGAGTAATTTCTCGTGAATATTTCAAGAATCCAGCTCTGGTCTTTGGTTCTGGTTCTGACAGTAGAACATCCACCTCACCGACCATCAGTGAGATGTTTGTCCATGAGTCTCTCAGGACGTCCTGTAGAGTGTCTCTGAGCTCTGACACAGCTGCTGTCACGTCCTCAAAGTGTCTCAGAGGACGGATGTTGATGCTGGATGAGTGAGTCGACTCCCTGAGTGCTGGCAGTGAGGGGTAGTTGAGGAGAAACTGGTTGTGATCCTCTGTGTGTGAGAGCTGCTCCAGCTCAGCGTCTTTCCTCTTCAGCTCAGTGATCTCCTGCTCCAGCTTCTCCTGAACATCTTTGACTCGACTCACTTCATCTTCCTGCTGGGATCTGATGTGGTGCTTCACCTCAGAGCTTCTTTTCTGGAGGAGACGGATCAGCTCAGTGAAGATCTTCTCACTGTCCTCCACTGCTTCATCAGCAGAGTGATTGATGGCCTCCACCTCCTGCTGAAGCAGCTTCACATCTTTCTCCTGGTCCTGGATTCTCTGCTGGATGTTTCCTCGTCTCTCCTCCAGCTCTCTCTGCCTCTCAGTCCTTTCTGCTGCAGCTGACACTGTGTCATGACCTTTATGTTCCTCCACAGAGCAGAGATAACAGATGCATGTCTGATCAGTGCGGCAGAACATCTTCATCACGTCGTCATGACGAGAGCAGATGTTCTTCTGGAGGTTCTTGGACGGCTCCACCAGCTTGTGTTTCTTTAAAGGAGCCACTTCATAATGAGCCTGAAGGTGTTTCTCACAATAAGAGGCCAGACAAATTAAACAGGACTTGATGGCTTTCAGTTTCCTCCCAGTGCAGAAATCACAGGCCACATCTTCAGGTCCAGCATAGCGGTGATCAGCAGGAGCAGCTTGGAGTCCAGTCTTCTTCAGCTCCTCTAACAAAGCTGCTAACATGGTGTTTTTCTGCAGATCAGGC